GAAGTTGGAAACACAGGGACAAAGCATGTGGGAAACACTCCTGGACATGAAGTCCGGCCTGTCCTCTCACCTTCTCCCACAGGCTGCAATAGTTCTGGCCAATCTGTGTCTCTTGGCAAAGTTAAAACACATCCTCTCCTTCATCTCCATCCTTGCATGGTGCCATACTGCCTTGCCAGAGCCTGCCTTTTCCTTTGGCCGAGGCCAAAGGGAAAGGTTGTCCCTGCAACCCATCCAGCACACAGGCAGCATTGCAGGCAGCATTGCAGGCAGTGTAGCACGCGGGAACCTGTAGTATGCCAGCATGCCCCAGCATATTCCATGCAGCCTGTTCAGCCCTGGGGGCTCCCACCCACCTCAGCTTGGCCGGGGAAATGGCTCAGCTGCATCCAGAGGCTTCTGGATGCGGGGGGCGGCAGCTGCCAGCCCCATTCCAGGCCATGTAAACCTCGGGCTAGTGGAGCAGTGCTATAAATATCTCCTTTAGCAAGACCCGGTCACGCAGTAGAGATCACGTAAGGGGAAGTGCTGCCCTCCCAGTCTCCGAGCCTTGGTGCCTGCGCAGCACAACCCGGTTGCCCGGAGTCCCCCGATCTCCAGGTTCACAGCAAGGGCACTGGGGTGCAGAGCTCAGAGGCGGCTGGTGGAGCACTGGGCGGATTGTGTGGGCAAGCACAGGCGGCATTTCTGTCACCAGCACAGAGTGGGCAATATCAGGCCAACGGATCCCCCATCTGCCTCCAGGCCACCCCCACCCTCCCTTAGAAGTGCAACACCCCTAAACCCATCTCATACAGTGCCACAACCCTCCCCTATGGTACCCCCCTCCCCCGCCCACCTACATATTCACCCCTCCCTGCTGCACTCTGGGCACTCTGCCCCCCACCCCTGTAAAAATCTTGCAGCCCTTCTGTACCTTGAAACCCTCGTCTGGGGAAGCAGAACCCCCCCTCGCCCGTCGGGATGGCTGCGACCCCTGTTCCCTGCAGAGCCCCCAGCTCCGAGCAGCCCCCAGCCCCGGGAGGGGGGCGTGTGGGTGGGGAGGAACGCTGCCCCCACGCATTGTCACCCCCAGCCCGGTTTGCAGACAAATAACCCTCCCCTCCTGCCGGTACTTTTCCATACGCACCAGCCTTGGTCCTTTGTTCTGTGCAAATCCCGGATCCGGCCCGCTCCCGGCACAGGGGTTGCAAATACGCCCTGGCCCACCCCGGATTTACCCGCCTGCACCCCCCGGGTGTCCCGTTGCCCTCGGAGGGGGCGCGGGTGACGGTACCGGGCTGGGGTGGGGGGCTGAGCTCCGGTCCGGCCGCCCCCGCCCGCTTGCCTGGCTGCGGTCGCTGCCTCCTTCGCCTCTGCCCGGAGCCGGGGCACCGGAGCCGCCGGGGTGCGGAGCCGCCACGGGGCACCGGAGCCCCCCAGAGGTACCGGAGCCTCCGAGGCGTACCGGAGCCGCCCAGGGGTACCGGAGCCGCCCAGGGGTACCGGCGGTGCCGAGCTGCCCGGGTGCGGAGCCGCCCAAAGGTACCAGAGCCGCCGCGGAGCCGGGGCCGCCCGGTACCGACCCACCGCGGTGCCCGGGCCGCCGGAGCCGGTCTCGGTGCCGCCGCTCTCCTCCGCTCCTCCCCGCCCCGCGCCGCTGCCTCCCGCTCCCCCGGGCCGCCACCGCGGGGCCCGGCCGGGGGCACTGCGTGCTCCTCGCCCCGCTGCTGGGGAACGGGGACCAGGGCTGCGGCTGAGGAAGAACCCCGATTCCCCCCCGCCCCTCAATCCCCGCTGCCGTGGCGGATCTGGTCTCACACACCGCCCTTCGCCGCAGCTCTTTCCCCCTCCTCCGCCCTAAATATCCTGCGAAGTCTGTCCCCCCTGCAAATACTGCTGTCTCCCGCTTTGCCGTTCTCCGCTCCCCAGCCTACCCCTGTAGCTACGTGCACTGCTCTGTTCTTAACAGACCTCTTTCTTCCACCCGCCTTTCACTCTCTGCTTCCAGGGGTGCTGCTGGCAGGGTATCCCCCAGTACTCCCCTTTACGGGGCTTAAATGACCCACACACACAGAGCCACAGATGACCCAGCAGCAGCATTCGGTCCCATAGCAGAGACACAGCCCCATCCGTGTGTCTTCCCCCAGAGAAGTGGGGCTCTCTGCCCCTCCTGAAGCAGGTCTCACCTCCCTTTCCCCTTGCCATAGGGACCCCCACGACCATCTGTGCTGTGGGGAGAGGTTGCTCTGCCTGGGATCTGCAGCTGGATCAAGGAGGACCCCAAGGTGAGAGTGGGGTGGGATGCCGAGGGGGGGCATGGGGCAGGGGACAGGGGTGCAGAGCCACACCCTGTGCAAACCAAAGGGTCTCCCAGTGTGCAGTAAGGGATATGCTGGGACGGTTCCAAGGACGGGGGGCGCAGGAGGTACTTGAGGAGCAGAGCAAAGGGGTGACCAGTCTCTCCTGCTCAGCCTTGAGTGGGTTATTAATGGCCAGGTGCCATTGTGAGAGCAGTCTCCTGGTCCTGAGCTTCTCACATGGCGATGGAGGGGCACAGCCGACTGACTAGGGAGGGATCCCAGTGAGGCTGCAACAGTCACAGATAAAGGCTGTGTTCTGTGAAATCCAAGCGCCACCAGACGGGCTCATTGCTTGCCTTGGCTGTGCCCCCTACCCGGCAAAGCACCCATGGGCAGCCACAGCCCACCCACGGATCCAATCTGTCTCCGGCCACCCCACTCCCGAGCCCAGTTCTGGGTCACTGCTGCCACCCCTGCCCCGAGCTGCTGTGGGTGAGCCATTCTGATCTGCTCTCCCTGGTGAAGGGAGAACTCGCCGGAAGGACGGAAACCTGAGCTGCTCTGGTAGGGAAAAGGCAAGTTAAACCCCCCTCCCTCCCTGTTTTCGTGGGGAAATCTGCACAAATCCAGTGTTATCCTAGTGCTTTGGGGCTGGGGCAGTGCCCAGCTGCTGGCAGTGCCTGCACAGCCTGGCACAGCCCTCCCTGGCCGCCCAGTTGCTGTGCTGAGACCACGCCAACTCGTTTCACCCAGGGCTAGCAATGACAGCTCCCTGCTGAGCGCGGCTGGACCGGGCGGCTTAGCAGCCTTGTTGCCTTTGCCTGCTGGAACGAGCCGAGGGGGAGGGCTGGTGCCCCGGCAGGGGGGAGGGACTGTCACCAGTCTCCTGGTGTCACTTGGCCAACTCATTGCATCCAGTCTCTGCCCTCCCTTTCCAGCTGCCTGGGCTGGACTGGAGCTGCCCGGATGGAGACGACTGCCCTGTGAGCCATGCATCCCCCAGTACTCGTTAGGAGCAGGGGATGCTGTGGATGGGCAGAGGGTAAGTGTTGCAGCTCTGGGCTGTTTGTGGGCTGGAAGAAGTTGGATGACAGCAGTGGGATGGAGGGTGGCACCATATCACAGTGAGCAGGAGGGAAACTGAGGCACAGCAGCTGTGCCCAGGGGCAGGTGGAAGGCCCCTCCAGCTTTCCAGAGGGCAGTGCCTGGGTGGAGTGGGCACAGCACTTCCCGGGAGGGCAGCAGAGCTGATGGAGACTAAGATAACGCTAAAAATACGGCAGCAGCTTTGTTGCCGCTGACAATAGCCCACAGTATTTTTAGCTGTAGTGGCGTTAGCGACAGAGCGGCTTCTCCGGTCCCGCTGCTGCCCTATCCCACCCTCCATGTCGCCGGGCCCCCTAAGGCCCCCAGAGCTGCTTCCCGGTGCTGTGGAAACCGTAACGTTAGAAACTAAACACAAACACCTCACCCGGTGCCAACCTCGGCTGAGTCAGAGCACTGCCTGCTCCCCTCGCCCTTGCCTCCCCCTCTGTCCCGCCCACCCCCTGGCCCAAAAGCAGTAGCTTGTGCCCCCAAGCCAGCCTTGCTCTTGCTTATGGGGTATTGCCTGTCCCAGGGCCAGGCTTGGGCTTGGCTTCCCTCTCCCTCATCCCAACTTCAACAGCTGGGAATTTATGGAGAAAACTCTGCAGGGTGACATTGCTGTTCCCAACTCCACGACTTTGGCATGACTCCAATGCAGAGAGGCAGACTCTGACTGGTGTCCAGTTTGCTAATATGGCCCACCCCAGCCCTCGCCCCCAGACCTCAGGGATAAAAACAGCTGGACAGGAACAAGCAGAGGCAGAAACAGCAGCTCTTATTTCCCTTGGCAAGGGCTAGTCTGGGGTGCTGTGCCTGGCCCCCTCATCCCATTGAAGGACAATGGGGTGTATGAGCAGGGGAAGGGGGTTTTGGGGTGACAGTGACGGTGGGACATGGGAAAATGAGGCAGCTCTGCTTAGCCCTTGATTTTTGGGATGGTTTCGGGGGAGCTGGCAGGCTGCCATAGGGCAAGTTGGGCTGCAGCCCCATAGTTGAGGCTGTGCACACTGGCATGTTTGCCCTCCCTCCACCACCCACATCCCAAAACTCCCGGCACCCACGGGTGTTCAAGGGCTGGTAGAGCAGCTGCATCATCTCTTCCCTAAAATAAGGCTGTGGCCAGCAGGCTGGCTGGGGCGGGCTGCTGCGACCATGACTATGTTGGGATGTTCTGGGGCCGAGGGCAGATCACGTCACGGGTATGAATTAATTAACGCTAAGCAGTTCTGGATGGTGTCCCAGGCCTTTTTTCTATTTTCATTTTAGAGAACTTCAAGCCTGCTTGGCGTCTGCTGCATCCTGGGTCTGGTGGGGAAGCTGGGGTGGGAGCACCTATGTAGCTGTCCTAGTGCATACAGATGCTGGGGTGGCATCACAGGCACCCCACCGGCTCAGTGCCCCGCTGCTCCCCAAAATGTGGGTGCTCCCGCTGCCCTCAGGGCTTCCTGGCTTTGGAGGCCAGTGCAGCTGAAGGTGGTTTTCAGGACCCAATGTAGCCCCCACTTTATGCTGTGGGTTTTCTTAATTCCCCACCCCGCCTGCAAGAGCACACACACGCTTTGTGTCTGGCTCACAGCCTTGAAAATTATCTTGGAAAGGGATTTTTAAATAAAAGTCGTAAACACCCTCAAAGAGTACTTTTATTACCCAAAAATGGTGTGAGGATGAAGGACTGGGGGTGCAGGGTGCATGGTGTACCGAATGCCTGGGATCTGAGGGGGGCTGGCCCCACGTGGGAGGTTTGGAGGAGCATGTGTCCGGCTGTGTGTGCCCAGCTGTGTGGGCACCACATGCCTGTCTGGGTGTAAGTGTAGCTGGGTGGGAGCAGTACAGTTGTTACAAAGTGCAAGGGTCTGAGGGTGCTTGCTGTGAACAGGTTTGGGGCTATGCAGAGGAAGGGTTGTCCCTGCTGGGGCACACGGCACTGCTCAAGCTCACTCTTTGGCCTCATTTTCCCTGATGAAAGAGGCGCTTCTCCCTGCCAGGCCTCCAAGCTCCCAGTGAAAGAAGGGGTGCAGCAGCCGAAAACATGCCCGTGCCTCATGCCTCCCATGCAGGCGGCCAGAGAGAAGCCCTGTGCCAGACAACCTCACTCAGCCCCCCCAACACCTTTAAATTTAGCACTTCCGTCTCCAGTCGTGTGAGCCAGGCTGGCAGCCAAAACCTCTGCAGCCACACGCACCCCTTGGAGAGCGGCTGCCTGCCTTGGCAGGCTCCAGAGTCCTGGGAAATGCCCTGTCCTCATTCCCCATGGCTGCCTCCCCAGCACTGCGATGTCCTATGCCTGTGGTCACCCCAGCCCCTGTCCCGTGTAAGTGGAAATGGTTAAATGACATGCCCAAGGTCATCCAAGGGAAGCTACGGCAGAGTTGAAAATGACCCCCCTGGCTCAAGGAGGGGTAGAAATAAAAGCCCAGTCCAGCTCTGCTCCCCTGGAGGGGCAGGGAATTGGGCGGACAGGGAATTTGGCAGGCATGCCGTGCACATGTGCTCACCCTTTCGGTGCTGCTTGTCTGGCTGAAAGCGGAGAGCGCAGCACCACTCACCTGCGTGCACACACCATCGCCCACGTGTGCGTGCATGCTCACACACACGCCTCACACACGGGTCCAGCTGTCCCGCCGAGCCTGGCGCTCACCCCGTGCCCGTGTGTGCTGCCATGGCCTCCTGTGCACCCACTTGCAGCTCTGCACACCCGCGCGTGGGTGAGCACACGTACAAACACGGAGGTGTGCGTCTACACTTGGGGTCACGTGTGTGTGTGTGTGTTCAGTGCATGTGTGCACACACACACGTGTTATGGGCAGTGGGGTGCACACACGTGTGCGCACAAGCAAGGGGGGCCTCGCTGTGAGCGGGCGAGGGAGCACGTGGGTGGGCAGAACGCGTGTGGGCTGGTGTGTGCTGTGCCCAGGCACCACCAGATGGTGCCCTGCCTCCATGTCACCTCTTGCGGACACAAACCTGCACCCTGCGCAGGGACACGGAGAGGTTCACGGGGGGACATACCCTCTGTGGGGTGATAATATTGCCCATGGGTGCTTGGACTCTCCAGCCAAGCAGAGCCCCCCACCACAGCCAGGGAAGAGTGACAGCCACGGTGACACCTGCCTGTGCTAACTCTCTCAGACATGATCAAGGTGGTGGATCAGCACCTTGGTGGCACTGGAGGAGAGGACTTTGCTGCAGGGGGTGCCCTTCCGGCAGGGAAGTAGGCAGAGCTTGGGGAAGCGGCGGGGTCTGTACATGGTTTGAGTGGGCGGGCAGCTTCCCCCTCCTATATTGTGTCCAACCCTGACAGTGACTTAGCCACAAGTAGCATTTTTTGGGTGTTAGTGGACCCCAGCCTGCAGTGACTCCCAACCTGCCCAGAGTAGCAATGCTCGACTCACACCTGCAGGTGTGGGTAGGGGCTGCAGCCCGCCCCCATCTCACTTCCACGAGGCTGAGACCTGAAAAAACTTGTCACGCGAGAGCGCAGCAGAGATGAAGGGGACTATTAAGGGGGGGGGGGGGGAGTGGCAGCCGCAGTTTCTGGTTCATTCCCTTGCCAGTTCTATGGGCTTCTGTCCCCACACCCCCTGCCCGTCTGCCCCACGTGCGTGGGTCGCTCCCAGTAGCCCCACCAGCTGCCCGCTGTGGGTGCTGCGTGCCCCACGGAGCCGCCATCGGGCCGGGCGGGAGGCGCGGGGCCGCCCACCAGCCTCCCCGGTCCCGCAGCTCCTCCAAACCGGCTCGACCTGCCGAGGAGCCCAGACCTGCTAGAAGACCCAGGCGGGTCCACTCCCCACCGCCTGCCTCTGCCCCAGGAACGGCCCCATCCCAAAAGGCAAAGACATCAGGCGCGGCAGCGCCCCGCGTCCTCCTGACCCGGGGTTGGGAGGGGGCTCCTCGCCCAGGGGGTGCCAGCCGTGGGGTGGCTCATTTTGGCCATGTCCCCCTTTCAGACAAAGAGCCCGGCACAAAGCCGCCCCTGTGCCCGGACTCACCGCGTGTTCCTGCCCGCCGGAGCGCAGCTGCGTCCCGGGAGAGCCCGCAACACGCAGGAGCGGGAGCCTCGGTGGTCGACGGCACCGGCCGACGGCTCAACTGTGCTGTGCTGAACCGAGCCGAGCCCAGCCGTGCCGCCTCGACGCGCCGGCACCAGGCGCACCCCCGATGCCCCCCCAAAAAGCGGGACGGCCCCGCGGGCACGGGGATGCGGTGCGGGGCACTGGGACCCCCCACGCGTGTGCGGGCGGCGGGTCACACGCAGAGCCTCGCGGTAAAGGGGCGCGCAAGGGGTGCTCGGCGAGGCCGCTCCGCACCTCCCGCCACGCTCCGTGTTTTCCCTGCAGCCTTTTGTGTGCGCGGCGCCGTGCGCGGGGAGGGCGCCCGGCCTTCCCATTCCTCCTCCTCCTCCTCCCCTGGTCCCGCCTCCCGGCCGCCATTTCGCAGCGCCGGCCTCGCCCGCGCCAACTCCACATCATGGAGGACCGGGGGGAACAAAGGGCCCCCATCCGCCCCTGCCCCGCGGACGGGGCACGCCGGTCCTCCGCTCCCCCCGCCCCACGGGCAGCCCCCGGCCCACGGGGCTGTGTGTGAGGAGCGCCTTATTTCAGGCCTGGCTGGAGTCCACGGGTGATGAGTTTGGTCCGGTCTCAGCCCGGTGGAAGCAGCACCGGGGTCGTGCTGCCGCCGCACGTCCCACCCCCCCCGGGTCCCATCCTGCCCAGGGATGTGTGCAAGGGAAGCACAGAGAGGTGCTGCGTGTGCACAGGTGTGTGCGTGTTTAGCCATGTGTGTGCATGACTCTCGTGTGACAGCCTGTGCACGCGTGATGGTGCTCCGGGGACAGTATGTGCACTTGCGACGGGTGTGTGGGTGCCCGGTGACACGACAGCTGGCACACGCAGCCGTGTGCTCGTGTGTGGCACTGCACGTGTGTCTTTGCACACATGGCACCGTGTGTGCTCACATGGCACCGCGTGCATGCGTGTGCCAGGCTGCGACAGAGTGACAGCAGGAGCGTGTGAGTGTGCACATGTGTGCACTTGAGCATCAGGGGAAGGTGTACGTGGGAGTCTGTGTGTGGCTTGGGGGATGTGTGTGTCAGCGTGCGTGTGGGGGCACACACATCTGGCCCCCACACTGTGTATCCAGGCTGTGGCCCCCATTTCTCCCCCAGTGTGTGAGCACGGAATCAGTGTGAGGGTGCAGAGAGGAGTGTGCAGAGCTCTGTGTGTGTGTGTGTGTGTGCACCCTCAAGAGGAAGCAGCTGATACAAGGACACCCCAGGCATGGTTTGGAGCACTGCAAAGGCTGTCCCCCACAGCGTCCCTAGGACAGCAGCCCTATCCTGCTGCCCGGGGGCAACCAGTGGAGGGCACCGTTTTAGGGGGCAGCCAGTGTCAGTGCAGTGGCCCTGTCCAGAGGGGAGGGTGCACAGTGGGGTTGCAGACCTGGCCCATGGGCAGGCTGGCCCAGTTCCCCCTTGGCCCCTGGCAGTGGGGTCCCCAGGCAGAGTGTTTCTGGTCTTCCTCCTCTTCCTTTCCCCAACAGCCCGGTCCCAGCTGTTCTCCCTGTTGCTGATCACACTGAAACCAGCACCAGGTCTTGGAGGGGAGCCTGGGGTCCCCGCTGCTCCTTCCTGTTCCCTGGTGCCTGCAGGCATGGCCCCAGCCGCTCCAGGAAGGAGTAAAGGAGGGAGCAGTGCACTGGAGGGTGTGCAGCAGAGTGGGAATGCAGGAGGGGGGTGGGATGCTATTCCCTGTCCCTGCCCATCCCTCCCCACCACGGCCTGGGTAACCCCTACAAGAGCCTCATCCTGCCTCCTGAAGCCCTGCCACAGACACTGTTCCTGGCTCCTTCCCTGATACTCCACCTGGTTTTTATTCTGTCCCTGCTTCCAGGTTTATCTTGTCCTGGCAATGACAGCCATGTTTCTCCTGCCTCCCACTAAACACCAGTTGTTCCCAACACTCCCTGGCTTTGGGTACCGCTCATTTGTTAAGCTGGATGCAGCCAAAACATCTTCCGCACAGAGGGCTTGTATTGCCCCCCATTCCATGTACCTCCAAGGAGAAACTGATCCAAGCAGAGGTGCAGGGCACGGCTCACCTGCAAATGGGATGGAGCCAGCACCTGGTGCCATCCTTCACCCCACAGTCTGCACTTTTGCATACAAGAGCCCCCAGCCCCTGCTGTGCCCCTACTCCTCTATGCCACAGTGCTCTTACTGGGTGCCAAGCAGAGCTGGTGACCCACGCCTTCATCAGCTGAGGGTCCAGAACACCCGGGCAGAGGACACAGCGGGTGCACTGGTGCCACCCTGCCCTGCATGAGCGGCCTGTGGTGAGCAGTACTCTGATCACGGCTCCCATCCCCTCCCTGGCGCCTTCCAGCCACCAGCGTCAAAGCACTTTGCTGGCATTAAATATTCAGTTCCGTTCTCCATCCCCTCCCTGGGAAGGAGCTCAGCATTGCAATGAACCCTCTGGCCTGCCCGTGCCCTGTGCTGACGGGGTGTTTCTGGGTGGATGCTGCCTGCCAGCCTCCTGCAGAAACAGCTGTGAGCAGAGGAGAGGAGAGCCACATCCCTCAGCACATGGACAAATAGTGGCCCTGGGGACCAGGGTCACCTTGCCCCCCGCCAGCTGCTCTCCCGTGAATCCGCCTGCTGCAATGCAGGGCTCAGCTCTCCCTGCATCTCTCCCCCAGGTTTGAATGTGTCCAGGAGCAGCTCCCTCTTCCCTACCTGCATTTTCCTCTACCCCTCAAGTACCAGCTGGCATGTTCACCCAGTTGCCTGTTGAGCTCGGATTAATACCCATCAGGCCCCAAACAAGGTCACACAAGGGCAGTGGGAGCCCCCTGTGTGCCGCAGCGGGAGCAGGCTGGGTGGTGGGTGGCTGTCCCCATGCAGAGATCCCATGGGATGGCCAGCAGGCACAGGCAACAGAGCTAATGGAGGTCTGCAAGGAAATAAATATTATTTGGGGGAGTTAGCCCTGAGCGCCAGACAAGTGCTGGGGCTTGAGGTCCTTTCTGTGAAGCAGAGGAACAGCAAATCCTGACCCAGAGCCAAGACTGGAGAAACAGGGAGCAGGTGACTGTGCGTGGAGGAAGATGTGTGAGCGCCACAGCTTTGGGAGGCTGAGCCACCAGCCCGGGCTGTGAGAGCAGGAACCTCACCAAGAGCCACAGTCCCAGTATCCACCAGGGCAACTAGGAGCCCAGGGCATCAGTGGTGAGGCAGGACAGAGTGAGGGCAGTAGAAAGCAGCAGCTCTTGCAGTGGGGCAGGGACTGTATTCTGCTTCCTGGCTGTCACAGGGTGACAGTGGCAGCAGGGGTATTTTTCAGAGAGAAACAAATATTGTAAGTGGGAAAGAGAAGTGAATTCTGGTTGAGGAGAGGCCAGAAAGTGCCACATCAGGTCCCATCACCATAGCTGTCTGCAAACCCCTGGGAGAAAGCACCAGCTCAAGGTGCTCATTTTCTTTTTGCCTTCACGTCCATTTTCAAGTGACCGTGAAGACCAGGAATATGCTGTGTGAGGTCAAAATGAGAGCCTGAGTCCTGCTCATGAGCCCAAAGTATGCAGGGGACTGGAACACCAGGTCATAGGAATGCGCCCCACAAAATTGCTTACTGCAAGGCGGAAGTTCCCTGTTTGCAGGCGAGAGGGGAAACATCCAGAGCAGCACCAGGCTGGGGGGCACGGCCAGGAAGATTTGGGACCCTCCACGAGGTCTGGGAGGAGCGGATGCAGGGCACGGCTGGATGAGCCCCGTCCCAGTCTGGCGGTTCGCAGGAGCCCCAGGAGCAGAGGCGAGCCACCCCTGCCATTCCTGCAGCGTGGCATCATCGCTGCGCACGATGCCGCTGGAGTAATTGCCGCTGGGCTGGGAGCCAGCGCAGCGCCCGCCCTCAGCCCCCCCGGCACAGACGATAACTCAATCTGCCCCCTCCTGCCTCCACACTCCGGGGGGAGGGGGGCACCAAGCTCCCCAGGGGACCACCCCGCCAGGGTGAGGTGAATGGGGAGGGAGGCGATGGGGGGGCACTGGGGCAGCCTCATGGTGCTCAAAGGCCACTTCCTTGCTTCCCCCTACCCTAATTTCAGGCATCTGCTTGGCAGAGCCTGAGGGCTTCCCGCTGCAAAGGCCATCGGAACATTTTAATAGCATGCTTTTGCCTGGCTTCCTTCCTGGGAATAAACCACGTCCTGGTGATACTGAGCATAAAAAAAAAAAAAAAAAAAAAAAAAAAAAAAAAAAAAAAAAAAAAAAAAAAAAAAAAAAACAAAAAAAAAAAAACAAAAAAAAAACAAAAAAAAAAAAAAAAAAAAAAAA